CTGGCTGGCTGGCTTGCTGTCTGTCTGTCTGTCTGTTGTCGGTCGGTCGGAGACCGTCCGTCCGTCGGTCGGTCTGTCTGTCTGGCTGTCTGGATGTTTGTCTGCGTGTTTGCATGTCTGTCGGTTTGTCCGGTTGTTTGTTTTGTGTTTACTTGTTGTTCTTCATTGTTCTTGTTACTGTTTGATGTTGTGCTTGTTTTGTTTCGTACCTCTTTATTTGTTGTTGCTTCTTGTCGGTGATTATCATTTGTTGTTGGCATCCTCAGCATGCAGTTGAGTATTGCTCTTACACTCGTCGTTGTTGTCGTGTGGGTTCTCGTGACGCCATGCAGCAACAGTGGCGCCTGTAACTATGGATTCCTCGGGACGCTCCACAGAGGTGCGCATGCCGGCCGCACAAAGCCAGCGCTGCCGTCCCAATGAGGCTAATGTATTGCAATGAGTCTGAAACTGCAAAAAAATCACCGGCTGCCTTCCCGTTTGGATGCTGAGATGGCCCTTGGCTTGTACTGATGTCTTGAATTCCTCTGAGCTGGAGCCAACGGCCGGCAAAGCTTGGGCTCAAGACATGAGCGTCCGCTGCATATGGGTTTCCCCGCGACTGCCTTCACCCCTGCAAACCTCAGAATTCCCGAGATAAGAGCAAGCATAGGCCAACCCCACTCCCCACATCCGATACCCCCCAAGCTTGCACCACGTTTCTTAACTTGCCTACTGAATCTCCCTATTGGAGTCCCTGAAGTCTAGACTGTACATACGAGAGAATGGCGCCAGCGAGCTGCACGGAGGCATTCAGCTCATGTGCAATAATGCCTGAGCAGAGCTTGTGCTTCAGCAGCCCAGGTACGGATTCTGGGCAAGGGGGTCGGGTTCCTACCGGCGCTTCGTTTCAGGAAGGGTCCTTCTTCTCACTGTTGGTATTGTAAGGGGAAGCTCAGTGGACTCGGAGAACTTTGGCCTGCCCCCTTCGGGTTCTATGAGCATTAGATTGAGGCTTAGAAATGTTCACCCGGCCTACTGCGATCCTCGTGTTGATGTTCTGCCCCTGCAAAAATACAGTAATTCCTTTATGTTCCCTTTCTGTAGGGGGGGTAAATTAAGAATAAACCGCAAGGCCCTACCCAAACGCTGAGCTCGGAGGTGATGACGATGCAGCCGGTTGTGCGTCGATGTTCGGCGACAAGAAGCCGCGGGCCCAGGGCCGGTACTGTTACTGGTGCTTTTTCCCTGTAATGTAAGGCTTTGAATCTCAAGCCCGAAGCTCTAAAGCCCCGCCGAAGCCCTAAACTGAGGCCCCACATCCCCCCGTCGAAACACCGGCCGTACCTCGCAATCGCAACTTGCTAGCCGAGGCTGCCCCCAACACCCATGAAGAGTTTGTAGGGTCCTAAATCCTGCCGCCATGTCGGGCCACATCAAGCCTTGAGGGAAGTCGCCATTGAGAAAGCAGTGCATCCCAGTAGAACTACTGTAGATTACGATGTATGTAGGTGTGTGTATAGGTCCGTGTGGTTGTGTGTGTGAGAGTGTGTGTGGTGCTGGTATGTTGGCATGGTATGGTAATTGTTGGTATGTCACGGCATAGCATGGGATGATATGGTATGGTACCTAGAAAATGCTCGCCATGCATGTGTTGTTGTATGTATGTAGGTGTGTATGTAGGTACATATGTGTGGGTACGGCGGACATCAGAGCTTCTTGCCGACCGTTGATGCTACAAAGCCTGCGCCACTCGAACGCACACTCCTGCTCTCTTGAGCCGAGGCGTGGCCCCCAGCTTGAAGGAGGCCATTGGGGGGGAGTTTCAGGGTGGATTTGTAGCTCTTCCCGCCCTGAGGGCTGAGGATCCTTGAGTTTTCAGACGTCAGCCTGAGCCTTCGAAAAGGCAAATCGCCATGCCTGGGTTTGCTTTCCTAGCCGTGGCGTTGTGTCTGTTGGTATCCAGGCATGATGGCTACCTACCCGATAAATTTCCCATGCATGCTGTGTTGTACCCAATAGGCTTGTTCGCTTGCTTGTTTGCTTCATTGTGCTGAGACTTTTGCTCTATGTTCGATAGCTCCCCCTGGCTCTTAGTGCTTCTCGCGTGCCCTCTCTCCCCTAAATCCGAGCCCTAAACCAAGCACCGAGGTCCCCAAACGCGAAACCCCGAAACCCTGCACCCGCCCGCTTTAGACCCCCGACCCCGCATTTTTTTTGTTGTTTTTCCAAGTGGGCCTTCTTTTCTCAGGCCCTGCGGCAAGGAGCGAGCAGTGAGGTCTTGGTCACCGCGCTCCAGGAGGAGAACTACAGGAGCGATCTGAGGGTTTCTGTGTTTCTGAGCCAGAATAAATACTGAAGAATATTATTAGATATAGAACATATATACTATATGTATAGATATAATACACATGTAGACTCACATGTAGTATTTCTATATTACACATGTGTCACATTTGTTTACATATATAGAATTACTACTGATTCAAATTTAATTATACGATAGGGAACTGCCTGTGAGCTGACTTTCGGGGCGACTCCTTTCCTTGAGAATGCCAGGCTACGATTTCGCCGCTCTGATGCATCGGCACGCTCATGGACGACCCTACGGGCTGAACCGTGTAGTTCAAACTAACTAGACTAGATTTTTCCAGTCCGGGGATTATAAACCCTAAACCCTAAACCCTAAACCTTTCGAATCCAGAACCGTTTCCTCTTTGATTCAGATTCGGGAGTGCCGTACCTTCGGTCAAGTTGCAGGCCAGACATCGATTGCAATGTTTCACAAAGCTTCAAGGCTGTGAAGATCAGAGAGAGAACCACACAGAATTGAATTGTGTCCAAACCTAAACCCCAAACGAGAAGACCCTGAAGGCTCCCGGGGGCTATTCAGGATTTCGACGGATATTGGTATCTATGGCTCTTGAGGGGATGAAGATGCCCTCTCAACATGAGGCTTTGCTTCTCTGTAAGCTTGATGCAGGACCGCTAATTCTACGCATCTCAGGTGAGCTGCAGCGGCGGCGCAGCCTCTGCCTCCGACGACTCTGCCACGGAGCTTTCGCGGCCTGGTCGTCGCACTGCGCCGCGCAGAGAGAGGTGCTCAGGGCCTGAGAGTTTCGTGAGGTCTCCAATGGGATGAGTTCGGACGACCAGAAAGGCAGACTTAATTAAGTCTGATTGTTGGCATGCTTCAGAAGCATGAAGCCTTGCGGTCCGAAGTCTGGTTCTTTATGAGTTTATGGGTTGCAGTTTATGGGCTCCGAGTTCTCAGGCTGCTCAGGCCTCGTACGCTCAGCCGAAGTCCGAAGCTGCCCGGAAACCCAACCTGTCCCTGGGCGCCGGGCAGGTTTAGGGATGAGGAGGTGAAGTAGTAGCCATGAGCCGCTCATATGACACGTGTTATATAATCCGTATATCTTATACACTATATGTATGCATATCATGTGTTTCAGCTTGTATACCATCTGTTACATTTTCTGAACTGCATGCTACTGCCACACACCAACAAAAACGCATACCCAAAACCCTTAAACCCTAAACCCTAAACCCTAAACCCTAAACCCCCTAAACCCCAAACCCGGACCACAAGACCTGCTCGCAGGCCGAGGCAAGAGCTGCGCAGCGAGAGCAGCTGCTGGAGAAAGCAGCCCCTGAGACCTAGAATCACGGTGGCTTGAGGTTGAGTGTCTAAGATAGGGTCCTCAATAATCACCTATACTTTTTATAAATATAGTAAAATGGGCCCCTATAGTAGGGTTGAGGGGAGTAAGGCTGGAGGTTTAGGGGAATAAGGGCTACCGAGGTTTGAGTGAAGTTCGGAGGTGCTGACTTTGAGTGCCTGGCTTTCATCCCAAGGCCGACCCCTAAACCCTACACCCTAGACCCTAAATCCTAGACCCTTAACCCTAAACCCTAAATTTAAAGGCCTTCCATTTCCGGCCCAGCATCCGACACACTAAATCGGGCCAGAAGTCCTGAGTCCTTTGCCATCTTTGCTACTGTCTTAGTAAGGGGCTTTGCTTCTTGTGCTGCTTCTGCTGCTGTTGTGGAGCTGCCTGCAAGAATGTTCAGAAAGCCATCCTTGCAGTCGGAGCCTGCTTGGAAAGTCTTTCCGCTTCAGGCCTCATTTGCCTCGTGCCCGAAGTCAAAGCTCGTGAAAGCCCATCCAGTACAAGATAGAAGATATGGGACATGGTACACACCATGCAAGATATATAACATGTAAGTCATGTAAGAAATAAGATGTAGTATGCAATACAACATATAGCAACACGTCTAAGCTTGTATTGAAATACCTACAGAAATGAGTAAGCAGATGAATACTTGAGTACATATGCATACATATGTCACACACACACATATATATATATATATGCACGCAAGAACATACAAGTCATCTCTATCCAGATCGGCTTTACCGGTAGCAAGTTGACTTACACCAAGCCTGCCGGTGCCTCCACATGAACCCATCGTTGTGCCCAGGTAAGTTTTTTGCAGGGGCCTCGGCTTTTTCGGCCGGGAGCCTGCGGGTCTGCTGTGCAGGTTTAGGTTCTCACGGTTCAGCGCCTCTGGGTCTTCGGGGTTCGGTTGTTCTTGCAGTTTCAGGTTTTGGGAGGTCGAAGCTATCCACGAATTCTGGCATGCTACAAACCTCAAACTCCTGCCAAAACCCGAAGTCTCAGTTCGCCATCAAACCCAAATCCCAAACCCCTAACTCCGAAGCCCTAGCCCTGAACCGCCAAATTTTCGAATCTTCAACGGTTTAGGGTTTAGGGTTTAGGGTTTAGGGCTGAGCTTACCGGCCGAAGCCCTGGACCAGGGCGCACCTGAGATCGCCAAGTGGTGAGGCGCGGGCGAAGGTGGGCCGAAGTGTGTTTCGTAAAGGGGCTTCAGGACATTCACCTTCAGAGCACATGGGAGTTTCCGAAAATTGGGGGGTACCTTATTTTGGGGTCTTATAATAAGGATCCTACTATTTAGGGCACTATATTAGGGTCCCCTATTTTCAGAATCTACCACATGGTGCCCGAGAACAAAATTTTGCATAGAGGGCTCACTGGCATTGCGGTTCGCGGGCCGGTGATGACAATGGTGATGATGATGATGATTGACGTGATAGTGAAGTGCTGGGTGATGATGCCACTGTATGAGAAAGTCAGAGCATTTAAAGAGGATCTCTTTCGGGCCGAGGCCTCAATGAGCGAAGGAATGATTGTCTGAGCAACCTGTCAGTGACATCAGGCTGCTCAGCACTGATGGCCAGCCTACTAATGGTAGGACCGCCGCTGAGAAATCGATAATCCTCTTGTCGTTTCCATCATGTTCCTAGACGAAAGCTTTGCTGTAAGTTTGCGGACTGTTATGCCTTAAGCCCTATAGACCCTATTCTAGCTCTCGGAGTTTGAGAATCTAGTATTCAACTGGTGACAGGTCGCTTTCGAGCGCTGGCGGCAGCTGGTACCCGAGCTGAGGGCACTGCGATGCCTTCTGGAGGAGTCGGAGCTCTACCGTCACTGCTCGTCCTCCTGTGGAAGACTAGCAGCAGTAGTGTCAACAACAACAAGAACAACAATAGAAGTCGTAATGACAATGTATAGTGATAGGAGTCGGAAGTAGCATTGCTGCTGCTACTCATAGAACTGAAGCTAATCAAAAAAACAGAGTGCAACTCATACAGATTTCTACTCACGGAGGATGGTTGAATCCAGGAGCAGCAGCAGCAGCTGCTGCTGCTGCTGCTGTCGTGGTAGCAGTAGAAGGCAGCAGATTTCCTCCTGCTCCCCATCCTCCTCCTTGCTTCTCCACCTGCTCGTCCTCGTCGCTCGTCGTCTTCGTCATCGGCCATCAGCCTCCCACGAACCCAGAGTAGCAACGTTGACGATGTCGGTTGTGGGTGTTTTTTTCTCCTGTTGCCGCCTATGATGATGGTTCTTGGTGTTTGCTTGTCACAACTGCGCCCTCCCAACGCCCAGCCACTAAGAAGATTCCAGGAGCTTGCTGAACACCGGCAAGGCCGCTCCAGGCAGGGTTTTTGGCGTTTCTACTGCCTTGTGCCTGGATTCGGGTTTGGTGCGATGCAGGGTCGCATAGCAGGCTGGGGAACGTAAGGACGGGCACGGGCCCCGCTGCCACAGCCCTAAAGAGCGGCCCCAAGCCCGAAATCCCTAAATCCACCGCTTTTGTCCCAGGCTCCTCCACCAGTATCGACACCTGGAGGCCCGCTTGTGCGTGGGAGCAACGCGAGGTGTGAGCCGCAAAACCCTATAATTATGAGATACTTCTGGAAATCCTCATAAAGGAGGGGAGTGTATTGATCAGGCGTCTACGTCATCCCAGCACAAAAGTCTCAAAAAATGCAACACCCCAAAGGCTCTACCCTCAAGGCTTGGAAAAGGAGGCTTTCCCAAAACCCTCGCCGTGAGGTTGATTCCGCTACGTGCTCGCCAGTTTAGTGAGTATCAGTAATCAGGCTGATAATCAGGCTGATGTGGAAATCATGTGTGAACCCATGCATCAGACCAACATGTCATGTGGAAGCAGCAGGATGACTCCAGTTAATGTGTGCCGCGGCATTCCGGACCGAAGGTCCCCCTTAGTCACGACGATACGCTTGTTGATGATGGAAAACGTGCGCTGAGCTGTAGCAGCCGCCTGTGTATCCCGAGTACACAGCTGATTAATGGAGCGCTGGAACTGCTGGGTTTTACCTGGTAGTGGAGGCGCCGACGGTTCTCTGCTGTGGACCAGAAGATGAGTGTGAGTCGGGACGAGGACAAGCCGCGGTTAGAGAGGTTCGATGGGTCGGAGCCAGCAAGTTACAAGCGGTGGCGACGCAAGGCGGAGCTCATGCTCATGGCGCCCCCCTCGACTATGGCCAGGGAGAAGTGGGGTCCAAAGTTGTGTGAGTACCTGGGTGGCGAAGCAGAAGAAGTCGTGGAACGAATTCCGTTGACCAAGCTGATAGCTGAGGATGGGCATACGCTCATCTTTGAGGCTCTGGATTCCAGATTCGCGGACTTGCAGCAGGACGCCATGCAGAAGTACCTCAACGAGTATGTCTTCAAGATGCAGATCAAGGCCGGAGAGACGTGCAGGAATCTTACAATACGAGATGACACGGCCTACAGAAACTTACAAGAGGTGAATGTGAAGTTGCCAGACGAAGTTCGAGGGTGGTTTCTGCTACGGAAGCTGGCTTTGGACAAGAACTCGGAGGCTATGATTCTGACAGCGACACATGGAAGCTTGAAGTACGAGGACGTCAACAAGGCAGTGAAGTCGATATTTCCGCAAGGGAAGTGCACTACGACGGCAAACCGGATGAAGGACGTGTACGCTGCGGAGACGGATGACGCAGAAGGCAGTCACGACACCAACGACGACGATGAGAACGAGGTCTTTCAGGTGGTTGCCGATCAGTTTCAACAACAAGAGGGACAAAGCTATGACGACGAAGAGGTGTTGGACGTGCTGGAGACCTACCAGGACATCCGGAGGAAGCTTCAGCAGAAGAAGATGGGCCGTGGATACAAGGCTCAACGTACCTCTTGGAGTCTTTCCGGGACCGTACAGGGAAGACTTGAGCAGCTGAAGAAAAGGACCAAGTGCCATCTCTGCAAAATGCCTGGACACTGGAAGCGCGAGTGTCCGAAGCGCAAGGAGCTGGGAGGGCAGACAGCAAGACAAGCTGGCACCAAGGAGGCCATGATCGCAGACGACGGCTCTGGAGATACAGGAGGAGCCGAATGGTTCATTCCTGCCGAACAGATCGAGGAGCTGAACGTGTTAGGCCGAGGTCGTGACCACAGCGGAGGGCGTGTCGTGGCGCAGCGACATGAAGGCCACGCCGTTGATGAAGGAGCTCATGGAGGCGCTCACGCCGGAGCTGACGGAGCCAGAGAATCCGGGAGCTCTTCCAGTGAAGCTGTTGGACAGTCGCGAAGATCACGAAGACGACGAGCCCGGCGTGCCAATCAGCGGCAGCGAGATCCTGGAGATCGGGAAGTACGCGAAGACAGGCCAGATGAAGACGTTCGGCGAGATCTACCAGGAGGACAAGAACTACATCCAGTGGATCCGGAAGTTCGTGACAACGTCGAAGCCGAACGCACAAGGACAGTCCAGTTCCGCACCAATGATGAGGTTGAGGCTGTATGTGCAAAGAAGATGGGGCCAGGACCATTGAGATTGACGGCCAAGGCAAAGAGTGGACCAGCCGTGGCCAAGCAGATGGTCAAGACTCCGAACAAGCAAGCGTCCGGTTCAGGCGATGGCTACGAGAGCTGGGAGGCTGTGGAGGCAGCTCAGGACATGAAGAACTACGACCTGAAGGACATGAAGGAGAAGATCATGAACCAGATGCTCTCGTTGCAAGCGCAGATGGAGCAACTGGAGCAAGTGGAGGCACAGGAGCACGACGAGCTCTGAAGGGGCCAGTCCAGGTTCCGAACCCTATGAGCCGGAAGGATCCGGACAGTGCAGTGTGTGGTGCAATGTCCAAGAGTGAGAAGCAGCAGTGTCGTGCGGGCCTTAAGCTGATAGGTGATGTTCCTGGTAAGAGCTTAGGTCAGGTTGGAGGTGTGAAGGGTTCGGGTGTGGACGTTCTGGAGCTGTTTGAAGGTCATGCCGAGCACAACGCGACGGCTGTAGGTCTCACTGCTAGGCATGTGCTGAAGTTTTCCAAGAAGTTTGAGCGACACCAGAGATGCTTCGGTGAGCAAATGAGGGTCCATGTCACCAGCATGTTGGAGAGTCTTCGCCCACGCATGTTCGTTGCCAGCATGCCGCAGGAGCTTCGGGACATGTTTGCAGGTGCGAGAGCCAAGGAGCAGGTGTACTGTAGCAGCTACAACAGTTTCGTGAATGCGCTAGGAATGAGTCAGGAGAGCTGTGGTAGACTGTTTGCGTGCGAGGTAGGACCCAATGTGAAGCCACATGAGTGTCTTGCAAAGCGAGTAGGAGTGTACTGTGTCAGTCTGTGCAGCCTAGGAACCAGCATGCTGACTAACTGCCGTGAGCTGTATGACAGGTTGCGCCGATGCTCGACACTGCAAGAGAGAGGGAATAGAGAGGATAGACTGAGAGCCGTGGCAAATCTGTGTGTGGCAAGTGTGCTTGATTGGAAACGGGTTAAAGACTTGGTTGTGTCGTCGACGTGCGTGCGTGCTGTTGAAGACTTGCGTCAGGGAGAGGGCCTTACAGATCAAAAGATTATGACACTCTTGAGAAAGTGTCATGAGAATCTGGGCCATCCCTCAGCGGCAAGGTTGTGCTTGTTGTTGAAGTCGGTGCATGCAAGCGAGCGTGTGTTGAAGTTGGCAAGAGGCATGACATGTGAAACTTGTGAGTCGTTGTCGAGACCGAGAAGTCATCACGTTACCAAAGTGCGGAGGGCCACAGAGTTCAATCAACAGGTGTGCTTGGACACCTTTGAAGTTGAGGTCCGAGGAAGCAAGTTACACTTCCTAAACATATGTGACGAAGGGACTACGTGCCAGTTGTGTGTGCCACTGTGGAAAGGTAAGCAAGCTCGACATGTCAGGAATGCGTACCGGAAGGCATGGAAGCGCTGGGCAGGAGCTCCTGTAAGAGCATTCACGGACGGTGGGCCGGAGTTCGAGGCGGAGTTCGAGCACGGGCTGGGGCTCGACGGAACGTACGGTGACGAGGCAGCCGCTTACTCGCCATGGCAGAACGGCTGGAAGGGTGGCGTGTGGAAGGTGGCCTTTCAGAAGGCCCTGCTGGACACCAATCCGAGGAGCAAGCAAGAAGTTCAGGAGCTGGTCGACAACGTCAACATCGCGGTGAACACGATGACCAGAAAGGATGGCTACTCGCCATGTCAGCATGTGTTTGGACGAGATCTACGTGCACCAGGCATGATTTCTACAGAGTATGACCCTGTGATTAGTTCAGGTTTGGTACAAGGAGAGTCAGTGTTCGAGAGGCGAATGGGCTTTCGGAATGCAGCAAGGCGGGCCTTTTTGGAGGCAGACAGTGACAGTCGCATCCGAAAGGCTCTGGAACATCGTAGCAGACCGGAACGCGGACCATTCCCTCCTGGAACACTGGTCTACTTTGGCGGGGACACAGGTTCGAGAACAAGTGTCACTGGCATGGACCGGCAGTTGTGATTGGAGGTCAAGGGTCAAAGTTGTGGATTGCCCAGGGAACCAAGGTCTATAGGTGTTGTCCGGAACAAGTACGCAGACTCACAGAGGAACAGGAGGCTATGATCAAGTTGTTACCGGCGGATGTTGTGCATGTTCGGCATGAAGTGAGTGCTCGAGGAGCAGGAACATATCATGACATCAGTGAGCTGGACCGACCACCAGCAGAAACTGATGACGGTGTACAAGAGGCACCAGTGAGAGCACCACAGTCGACAGCAGGTGTGATGGTTCGCGAAGATGATGACGAGATGTTGCATGAGCAGGAGACACATGAGGGTGAACAACAAGGTGCTACAGGCGAGCATGATCCTAATGATCTGGTCAATATTCCTCAACTTGCGCAGGAAAACCCACCAGGTGAAGGAGTGCGCGAGGAGTCACCGTCCAAAAGGCTGAGGATGAGCGAGTTGACACAGGTGTTGCATGTTCGTGGCGCTGGCACATTGGATGGACACCCGTTGGCCAGAAGTTCGGGCGAGAGTGAGCATGTGCGTGCGCAAGACATTCCCGTGCCAGGTGACACTGATGAAGAGCTTCAGGTTGTTGTTGGTCGCAACGATTGCTTGATGGTTGAGCTTACAAAAGGCAGGAAGGAGCTGGCGATGAGCGCTATTCCGGCCGAGAGGCAGCCAGGCCTACGGAAGGCAAAGGAGAAGGAGTGGAAGAAGCTCATCGATAGTCAGGCCATCGTTGTACACCGAGGCAAGAAGGCACAGGAGTTGCGTGAAAAGTTTGCTTCAGTGGATCCGGTGACAGGTCGACGTGCAAAGTTCATGAAATCCAGATATGTGATCACAGAGGCAGATGGCACTGCCAAGGATGAGTTTCAGGGCCTGAAGGCTCGTTGGTGCATAAGGGGGTATCTGGATCCAGCTCTCCAGGAACTGGATACAAATGCTCCGACCTTGTCAGCTGAAGGCTTTGCCATTACGACCCAGTTGATTGCGAGCAAACGTTGGTCGTTGCAGATTGCCGATGTGGAAGGCGCGTTTCGACGAGGCGACAAGTTGGATCCACAACGAGGCCGGATTCTAGTAGAGCCACCGCCAGGTGGCATTCCAGGATGCAGTGACGATGAGGACTGCCTCATAGAGGCGGTGAAGACGGTGTATGGCTTAGCTGATGCACCAAAGGCCTGGTGGAAGAGCTTACAGCTGTGCTTCAAAAGCTTGGAATGGTGCCGTCAAAGTTTGATCCATGTGTGTTCTGGTTTTTCCATGAGGGAGAAATCGAGGGCACAATTGCGTTGCGTGTGGATGATATGGTGCTCGGGGGGGGAATGCAATTTCAGAAGATGGTGGTTGATGAATTGAAGAAGATTTACCCCTTCAAACATTGGAAAACTGGTGGCGGAGAGTTTCTGGGCAAGGTTCTCAAACAAGGGGCGTCAGGTGAGATTACGGTGTGTCAGATGGAGTATGCTAGTCAACTGCAGGGAATCCAGATCAGCACGGAACGCAGAAAGATGAGAGACGCTGCTATTACTGAAGATGAGTTGCAACGTATGCGCGCCGCCCTGGGTGCCGTGAATTGGCTAGTAGGAGGAAGCCGTCCAGACTTAGCTGCATGGTGTTCGCTACTTCAGCAGAAGGTGTCACGAGCTACGGTGGAGCAGTTGGTCGAGACCAACAAGCTGATCAAGATGGCCAGGGGCAACGCGAGTGTGATGATCCGAGTGCTGCCCATACCGGTAGCTGAGGTTCAGTTCGTGGTACTGTCAGATGCCTCATGGGCCAATGCCGAGAACAAGTGCAGTCAAGCGGGCTACATGGTTGCTGCTGGCGATGCTATGTTGAAGAAAGGGCATTGGGGACGCTTCTCAGCACTACGTTGGAAGAGCTACAAGCAGGACCGACAGGCACACTCGACGCTGGGAGCAGAGTTGCTTTCGCTATCGAGGGCAATAGGAGAGGCAAGGTGGATGAGATCGATGTGGTGTGAAGCGACAAATGTCCACTACTGCCTGAAGGATGACAAGAAGTGGAGCTGTCAAATTCCTTTGACAGCTGTTGTGGACTGCAAGCCGGTGTATGATCATGCCAAGTCCTGCACGGTCAGTCTTAAAGACAAGAGGATGGCGATCGAGATGCTCCTGGTGAAGAATGACATCCAAGAGCACGGCATAGAGCTCAAATGGGTTGCCACCAAACAGATGATCGTGGATGCTTTAACTAAGGTTGGGGCACCGGTCAGTCTCCTTTTGCAGGTTCTCAGAGAAGCGTGTTTCGTTCTTACCGAAGATGAAGTGGTGAATCAGTGGATTGACAAAGGAGTCAAGTACAGAGGCTGGCGTGGCAAGCGGTCTGATGCATGTTCTGTCTTGGGGGTGTGTGGAAATCATGTGTGAACCCATGC